CTGGGGATCTTTAAACTCTACCGACACTTGGCTCCACCCAACACGCTGCGATTTAATTGGAATGGGGTGTGGCCCCAGTACTGGTTAATTCTAATTACCAGCAAAGTCTGGGCACCACTGACCTTGGTTCTGAACTATTTAAACTAAGATTTTCTTAATCTGCTCAGTTTCCTTTCCCATACCAAGTTCTGAAAAGAAACTTTTTTTTTTACTGTCTATACTATTTTCTCCACCAAAATTTCAAATTTCCAGTATATGGATTATTATTTGACTCACATCTCCTCTTAAAATGGGATACAGGGTCACCTTGACTATAAAATGCAGAATTGTACCAGATGATTTTTAAGGTTTCTTCCCACTCAGAATTTATTTAGTTCTCAAAAACACAAAAACAAAAACACAAAAACAAATCAATAGTACTTTCTGGATTATCAAGCACACCTACTGGCCTTCTTCAGTTCTCCTTAACTACCCTCCTTTTTCTAATAAGTGAACCATATGAAATTTGCCAATATTAGACCATTTTTAATCCCAACAAACAGCCATTTCATATGATTCATCCTAATATTTTCTTCCTACTTATCCTTTGTACAAGACTCTTTAAATGTAACACACCCAAGCTAAACTTTCTTTCTTGAAAACTCAATGAAATCTCAATTCCTTGTTATAACTTTAAAAGATATGATGACAAGAAAAGGAAAAAGAATGGGCCCAAATGGGCCCATACTTGAAGATGAAAGATATCTTTTTTTTTTTAATGTTCTACCTATACTTGAGTGGGGTAGAGCTATTACATTACATGAAGCTTCTCCATACAAGTATTTACATTGACTATTTAAACAGTATAAATTGATTTTTTTGTTTTTTACTTCTTGCACTAGAGTATCAGAGGAACCCAAGCTTTTTTTTTTCCAACTGAGGTATACCTGACATACATTATATTAATTTCAAGTGTACAACAAAATAATTTGATATTTGTATATACTGCAAAATGATCACATTAAGTCAATGATCACCATACATGGTTACAGAATTTTTCTCTTGTGATAAGAGCTTTTAAGATCTACTCTCTTAGCAACTTTTGAATATGCTATACAGTATTATTAACTAGAGTCACCACGCTGTACTCTACACCCCCATGACTTATCTATAACTGGAAGTCTGCACCTTTTGACTCCCTTCACCCATTTTCCATTTCACCCAGCCCCCCAAAACCCCCACGTTTAACAACTAACAATCTGTTCTCTGTATATATGAGCTTTTCCCTTCAGATTCCACATATAAAAGGTCATATGGCATTTGTCTTTCTCTGTCTGACTTATTTCACTTAGCATAACACCACCAAGGTCTATTCATGTTGGCACAAATGGCAGGATTTCCTTTTCATAGCTGAATAATATTCCACCGTGTATACTACACTATATATATTAAATATATCATATACATACATATGTAATACATACACATATATAGATTTATATCACATCTTCTTTATCCACAAATCCTTCAACAGACCTTGAGGTTGTTTCCATGTCTTGGCAATTCTAAATAATGCTGCAATGAACATGGGAGTGTGCATATCTTTTCAAGGTAGTATTTTCATTTTCTTCAGATAAATACCAATAAGTGGAATTGCTGGATCATTTGGTAGTTCTATTTTCAATTTTTTTGAGAAATCTCCATACTGTTTTCCATAGGGGCTGCAACAATTTACATTCCCACCAACAGTGTACTAAAGTTCCCTTTTCTCCATATCCTCACCAACATTTATTATTTGTTGTCTCTTTGATAATAGCCATCACAGGTATCATTACTAAGTTCAAAAAATATCTATCTCAACCAAAGTATATCTATGCAATACAGCTTACTAAGTTTAAGACCTGAGCTTTCAAATAATTCATAGCGTATACTACCATTTTCATAAGAGAAAAAAAGAAGGGAGGAACCAACACGAACTACTCCATGTAAAACCACCCCCAGCTCCACAGAGTTGATCTCATCACCCTATTTCCTTCATAGTAGCCATCATAATTTGCAATCACCTTGTTTACTGTCTGTCTTCCCTCCACTGAACCTAAGTAAGCTCCCTGACAAGAGGAGTTTTGTCTTTTGAAAAAGACCTTTGTCTTTTCCACTGCTGTACTGCCAAACCCTTAAGAATATCTAGCACATGGTCAATGCTCAGTATAAATTTGTTGACTATGTGTAGGAAAAAGGCTAGAAGGCAATGTTAACTTTGACTATGTTGATGATTTTTGAGATTTTTTTTTTGGTTTACCATGTTTTCTGTTTACCATGTGTTCTGTTTATAGTACACATTACTTATTTATTAGAGGAAAGGGTTATTTTAAAATAATAATTTCAAATTACTATTTAACATTTTGTTGAAATGCTTTTAGTAATTTGAAAAACTTAAATCATTTTGAGGCCATCAAAATTCAAGTCATAAGAACTAGCTGCAACATTAATTTTAAAGCAATTGTATAAAAATAAATCATGTAAAAACATACACTTACATCACTAATCATCAGGGAAACGCAAATCAAAACCACAATGAGATCTAGTGTGGGAGAGGATGTGAAGAAATGAGAATCTCTGTGTACCATTGGTGGGAATGTAAATGGGTGCAGCTACTATGGAAAACAGCATGGAGGTTCCTCAAAAAATTAAAAATACAAATACCATATAATCCAGCAATCTGACTTCTGGGTATACACCCGAAAGAAATGAAAAAAAGACTCTCAAAGAGATGTCAGCACTCCCATGTTCATCGCAGCACAATTCACAATAGCCAAGACATGGAAACAACCTAAGTGTCAGTCAAAAGATGAACAGATAAAGATGTGAGAGATACAGATATACAGATACATAAACATAAATACACACACATACACATAATGGAATATAATTCAGCCACGAGAAAGAAGCAAATCTTGCCGTTTATGATAACACAGATGAACCCTGAGGGATTTATGCTAAATGAAATAAGCCAGGCAAAGACAAATACTGTATGATATCACTTAAATGTGTAATCTAAAAAAGCCAAACTCACAGAAACAGAGACCAAAATGGTGGCTACCAGAGGCTGGGGGTGGGAAAAATTATGAGATGTTGGTCAAAGAGTACACCCTTCTAATTGTAAGTTGAAAAGTTCTGGGGAATAATAAAAAAAAATTAGGGAAAATTAAATTTATATGTACTACCTAACTACAAAGTAACATCTAAGTTGTGAAACAGCATTATATTTCAGCATAATATACTTAGCTGTGCTGCATACGGAACTTCTGAAAAGAAGTATTCTTAACCCTTAATTTCAGTACTGACTGCAAACTTCACCCACATCAAACTTAGTCTACCGACTGGAGCTTTGCCACTCTCTGAACCCAGCAACTCTTCAATCCTCAAACCCATCCATAGTAGCTCAGCCCCGCCACGCCTGTGAGGTTTCAAGAGCGAGCACCGAGGGAACAGCACAAGAAGCCTGTAAGGTTCTCTCAGAGCAAGGCTGTTTAAGCTGAGAGCACTGAAAGTGATTTTACCCTTAAATGTTTCCCAATTTAACTAAATTAGCTTCTTAGTGTGTGTCAATCAGACCTCGGCCCCAGGCTTAATCATCACCCGAAAATATTTACATCTGCTAACCTTGTGATTCCAGATTGGCCTCTCTACCTAGAGCCCATCATCTCAAAAGTAGACACCGCTGATCACTGATGAGGAGAGAGTGAGAAGGCCCGTAAGACTGTAATGAGATCATTACAAATTCACCTCCTACAACTACTGGAAAAGCATCACAGGCTGATGGTTTAGAGACAATAGAAAGTTCTTAAGTAATACATTTATGTAGTTTTAAAAGAGACTCACCAATTTTACTCTGGTTCTGAAACAGCTAATACAACCTAATTCAAGGCATGTTCATAATGCCTGATTATCTTTTATTTAAGTCAAAGAAGTAAAGAAAATAATGTATCAGTTAGGATTTATGGTTCTCTCTCATTTCCCAATTTTATCACATCCAGTAGTCATTGTAACATATAAAACTATTCAAAATGCCTCTTTAAGGTTTTTGTCTGAGCTATTGCATGCAAAAGGGTTGGGTAGAATTTTATCGTATTTGGATATGACTTAAAATAAAAGCTAAGTAGTAAATACAAAATTCACCTTAGGGGATAAGGCACTTCAGAGAGGTGGGAAATCATTTTCCTAACAGCCAACACTGAGGTGTGATGAGAGGCCTAATCTTTGCTGATCAAGAGAAACAAGCCCTATGGATTAAGATGCCAGACACAGAAAACAAACAGTAGTTTCAAATATGATCTTCAAATTGAAAATCACAAGAGCAGACATTCAAAACAGGCTTTGATGTATGATGGCGCTGCTATTCAGGGAGGCAGCTCCAAGAGGAAACGCCCCAGAGGGAGAAACAGCAGGGATTTATTTATTTAACAATGGTTAATATTTCTCCTGAGGGGAAGCCAGCTAGCTTTCAAATAACACCTATTAAATTTGTAGACTGCAAAGTTCACATGAATATCAGGGGATTAAAATCCAAGATATCTACAATTTAGTGTAAACTATGCTTTAGCTATTTATTCAAAAATCTCTGCTCCATAACAAAAACATGATTTACTATGATTTTTGCCTCAGTGTTACAGCATAAAAAGTAAATCATTTCATTTTATTTATCTGAATTACAGGAGATGAATCAATAAGGTTCCTCTATATATATAACTGCTTTCTGTTGAAGAATTTGATACAATAATAAACTCTAAATTTATTAATTTCGCGTTTTCTGCTTCATTATAATGAATCATACTGCATCCCAGTGAGTAATGAAAGCAAAAACAAGCCCCATGCTTACTGCATTATAAAACTTTACCTAGCTTATCATAACAACCATCTGCCTGTGGGAAGGAAAAGCTTCTGTGAATCAATTAGCATCCAAAGGCAATAACATTTTCTTAAGGAAGTGAAAAGTCACGCTCACTCATATAGAGCAATACCTTTCCAGGGACCCGGAGACTCTCAATGGCACCAAGATCACTGAGGCTCTCAGGAGGACTTTTCAGACCCTTAAAAAAAAAATAAGATGAAAAGAGTTTTAATTGTGCTGCAGAACTGTAACATAATAGAACATATGTACTGACGTAGAAATCACCACTTTAAAAAAACAGAAATTTTCCTTCTTTAAAGTACATAGAACATATGATCTAAAAATAATTGTCACTATATATAATATTATCATTAAATCAAGTACAGATGTACTTATGGGAATTTAAAATAAAATTACTATATGGGACCTTCATAACTAATGATTGAATTTAATCATGATTTAAAAAAAAACCAAAAGAAAAGAAACTTGGGTGACAAAGAGCATTTTATAAGAGCACTTATGAACTAATCATTACCAAATTAATGTCGTAAAAAGGTCCAAGCATTATGATCCACAGATATAATATACGACCTGACTGAGCTAACCAAAGATTTTTAAATAATGATAGTTGCTTAATTAATCCCTAGATTTTACCTTATCATTTCTCACCAATGTACCCAATTTATACTACATAATTGAGACTTAAATCTCACATCTCACTGCTTTCTACCTGTTCTTTAGCTCTTTGGTATACTCACTCCAAATGAGGGATTCTAAAGGTCTTTATTTGTATCGGGGAAAGTTATCAAGACGGATAGAAGTTAGCAATTTAAGTTTTCTTTAAAAGCTTCCTTTTAAAAACAGGCTATTCAAAGCAGACACCTGAAGTCCTTGTAAACAAAATTAGCTGGTATATGAACTTGAGAGATTTATGCTGTCAAGTTTTTGCCCTTTAGAAACACTATATTGGCCCTTTGGTGTCCTTCGTAACCCAAATACGTGGTACATTTAGGTTGATTATTTGAGACTTAGAATAGAACTTGCTTATTTTTAAATTACAGAGGTGTGTATTTTATCTTATCATCACCGGTCAAATCTACAATTTTTTATGACGTAGTGTTCTGCCTCACCCCCAAGCGTGCCATTACTTCCAGAATACTGAGACAGGATGGAAGGGGGCAGGGCACAACCATTCAAGGAATGCTACAGCAATTAACATCAAAATGGTGAAAGATTCAACCCCCAGTAGGCCTTGAGGCTCAGGATTATAAGAGACTTAACTTCTAGTAGATCTTGAGCTTCATTATACGCTCATTATAATATATTAACAGGGTGAATAAAACGCCCACAGGCACCATGGCAGTCCCAAGGCTAGCCACAAAAGGTCAGAGTGGGAAATGGCCAACTTCCTGGGAATCCCAGTCCCTTCTCCAGGCTACTTAAACTGGTCCTTCCACTTATTAGCATATGAAGCCACCAAGCCCATACAAACTAACAACATGGTGTCTTCGCGGCCACCCCCCTCTCCCTCTTCGGAGACAGTCCGCATTCTGTCTATGGAATGTGTACCTACTTTTAATCTGAGCACCCAACCCCCACACCTCATGGCCTTTCTCTTGCCTTTCAATGTATCTCTATGAACAAATCTTTCACTCACTCAACTGTGGCTTGCTCTTGAATTCTTTCCTGCGTGAAGCCAAGGACCCACACTTGGCAGGGCACGTCCCAGGGGCTCAGCCGAAGCCTGGGACACAGCCCTTCTCACGCTCCACATCCATTTTCCTGCATCAATACCACCTCCCAGCCTTCTCTCTCATTCCCAACCCTCCCCCCCGACTTCTCTCCCTCTCTCTCCCCCTCTCTCTCTCCTCACACACACACACACACACACACACACACACACACACACACACACACACC